TTAAATAAGTATTAAAAATAGCAAACTTTAACGACATTATGATAAAGTTACCTTTATTAAACATTTCATTACTTTGTTTTAATAGTTTTCACATGTGGTTCAATCAGCAAAAGGAAAGCCTATTAACACCGGAATCTCAGAAATTTATAGAGTTGTTAAGCCAGAAAACTGCCAAAACAATGGGAAAGTACTATCTGAAAGTGGTCAGCCATATGGTGCCCAAGGAGTGCGACTTCCCTAAGCTTAGACTACAGGCGCCCGGTTTACAGCCCGATGAGAAACGCCAGTCCATAGGCCTGGCGCTCATCGAGGCGTTGGCCAATCAATTAAAATAAAATTTGTTGTAAAGTATTTTAAAAAGACCTTGTTGTTGACTAGCTATTTTATAGAAAATTGTATGCGATGAATAATTTAATATAAACAATAACTTTGCTAGTTTAATTTAATTTATTGAATTATATTTAAGTTTTAACACTTAATGCTTCAATTATAATTATAATTTATAAATTTAATATTAGTAATATAAATTGTAATGCCGGTGTTTAGCCGTTTACTTTCTTAGCAATGTCAAAATTGATATAAAAGATCAAACTATTATGGTCAATGAAATTGAGTTAGAAAGTTGACATTATAGTAAAATTAATCAAGTTAGTACCACAGTACCTAGATGAACATGACCGATATTTGCTTTTATTGAGGACAATAGCTAGTGTTTTAATAAACCCTGTTTATAATATATATTATAAAATTTATAACATTTAATGTTAAATTTATTATTAACAAATGACTCATAAACATAATTTATTGTATTTAAAAATTGTAATTTATTATTATATAATACCTTTAATTAATAAAATAAAATTAATAAATTTTAAAATGGACGCTATATATTATTTAATTTTTATGTTTGGTAAATAATATTTATATATTATATAATCAATATTAATTAACAATTAATTAAAAAAATTTAGTATATTTTGCAAACTATAATGCCGAGCATGATACCAATGAAACAAATGAACTTGATAAACAATTAGCCAGTATAGATAAAAATGGGGATTCAAGTAATCCATGGCCAACCACTGAGCAGGATATTAAAACAATATAACTGAGCAAGTAAAATTACTTTATAAAATTTAAATAACCTACTATTTTTTTAATTACAAAAATAGCAATTACATTGACATACTACTCAAACTACACGCTTATGTGCATACAACTACTAATAATACAAATGCACACCTATTTACCCGGCTAATTATTGGTGTGTGGATAAAATATTACAACACATTATTAATTAGTGAAAATAAAATTAGGTATTTTACTAATTTTAATACTGGGGCCGAGATATTAAAACAAAATACAGACAAAATAATTAACGCATTTACAGCAATTGCAAAGGATTTTAATAAGTGGACTATAACTCAGATTGTTTGGTAAGTTTTAAAGTATTATTTATTTTATTTATTCAATAAATTGTGCAAAATTTAAATTACTATAAAAAGTTTTAAATATTAACATACATAAATTCAATATTTGTTAGCATTAATAAACATTGATAAATGCAATAAAAGGTGTATAAATGTGTCTCAATTGCATATTTACAGTTTTTACATATATTTTTTAAAATGGAGTAATAATTTATTACAAATAAAACTTTGTAGTAAATATACCAGTTTAAAATTCTTGCATAATAATTACTAATAATAAAATAAATTGTTGTTTAAATTTTTTTATAGTTATTAAAATAATCATGAAATTGTTATTAATTTATGGTATTAACAATATTTCATATTTTATATATTAATTTAATATTTATTAATTTAATTGTATATTGCATTAGCATGTATGACATGCATAGCCTAGCTGTACAGACCATGATGTTTGGAGGACCAGGCTCACATATACCCGATTATATTCCTGTGGTATTGGCCCCAAAGTTCATAATGACAGCTGCATTGCACAGGTATTTAAAAATGGTGGACACCATAGTACCTGCACCACAGCAGTACATATTCGAGCATTGTGACTACGCTAAAATAGCACCGGTAGCCCCAAACATGCCTAAACGCAAAAGTGTCTTATTTGCATTTGTCGAGGCAGTAATCAGTGTACTTAACCGACATGAGTATGGTCAACCTAAAATTTAATACCACTTGTAAACAAAATGTATAAACATTTGTTAAAATAAATATTTTAATGCAAAATTAATTGTAATTCACAGTATAATTATATAAAATTAATTGTATTTAAAAGTGTTGTTATTTTTATTTATTTTATATAATTTTTTACGTACTTTATTTAAAAATTATATTTATTTTATTTTAATAATTAATAGTCTACTTATAAATAAATATAATGAAAGTTAAATATTGTTGCTTATTATTGATACCAGGTTGCATTATTATTGTATTTATTTTATAAAACAATTTTAATTATTTAATACATTAACTTATCTAGGATATTTTTCACAAATAATTTGCAATATTGGACATGATGACAGTGAAGCAAATGAGCTGGATAATCAATTGCTGTTAATAGACAGAAATGGGGACCCGGCTAATCCATGGCCTATTAATGAACCCGATATTACAAACATTACTGAGTAAGTACTAAAATATTAAATTATAAATTATCAAGGTTTTAATTAAATTAATTATTTAGTCACTACATCGACATACTTCTCAAACTACAAGCCTATGTCCATAAAATTAATAATAATAAACATGCACATTTGATTACCCGGATAATAATTGGTGAAAGATTAAAATATTTAAATAAACTATTAAATGACCCGCATAAAGTCATGTATTTTAGACATTTAAATGACCGTGCTGATAAGTTACAACCGGCTAGGCAATCGCTAATTAACGCCTATACGGCAATGTTATGGGATATTTATAACTGGACTATATCCCAGGTTATTTGGTAGGTTTATAATATTTGGTGGTATACTTTATTTAGTACCAGTGATCAAAATATATATTTAAATTTTGCTTTTATAAAGATGAGTTAATTACAAATAAATAATTTAAATTCATTCATATAAAAGTAAAATTTAAGTATTAAATTTTATAATTCATGTTTTACCCCTATAAACATTTTGTTATAAATGACCTAGTTAAGATATTTCATGTTTTCTATTAGCATGTATGACATACATTGCATGAAATTACAGTCATTGGTGTTTGGGGGAGAGGGTGGAAAGCCTCCTAAAGATGTTCCTGTTGAATTAATGCAGGTGGTAACATTAACGTCTATATTAGAAAAATATTTAAAACAATTTGACCTGGTCACACCAGTCCCAACACAAAAATACATATTTGAGCGGTGTGACTATACTAGAGTAGCCCCGGTAGCCTCAAACATATGTAAATATAAATCTGTTTTAATGGCATTTGCCGAGGCAGTGATAAATGTGCTCAACCGACATGAGTATGGTCAAATTAAATTGTAATATAACCAAAAAAATTTATCTACAATAAGGTTTTTTATATTTAATTAATTATAATATTATTTAAATTCACCGCTCACTTAATTTATGAAATACTAAAATGTTATTTATACCGTATGTTTTACAAAATAATAAGTTTTGTAAGGCAATTATAAATTTTTAATTATGTTAACAAGTATATTGTTTGTTGTATTAATTTGTTGTAAGTATATTTGCAAGTACCACTAATTAGATCTTAAATATCATATGCAAACTGTAAATTATGAATAAAATAATTTAAAATTAAAAATTAATAATTAAATATAATTTCATATTTGTAAACATAGCTCAGGTCTATGGACACCAATATTTTGATAGGCCTGACGTGCCCGAGGACGAGGCCCTAGATTATGTGCTAGCTCACTTAAATCGCTATGGCGACCCTGAGCTACCATGGCCTACCAGCTACGCCGCCATGGACCGTGATTTATGCGAGTATGTTGCAATATTAAATTAAATTGCTTAAATTATATTTATTTATTTATTTATTAGCCAGTTAACCGATTATATTACAAGAGCATTAAGACACATCAAACATTTATACCCTGCTAATAAAGACCTGCACTCAATCGTGACGCTGCTATTTAGCGAGCGGCTGAGGACATTGTACAGATTTTGTGCTAGCGCAAATAGTTTAACTTTTTTCCAAGCTGCCAACTCCATGGTAAACGAGCTAGCTGTTATTCGTAAACAGTATTTGACCGCGCTCACACTGGCCGCTCAACCCGGTACTAATGTGACTATTGCTAGGATTATATGGTATGAATAAATACCCTGTATCAAAATATAAATTATTACTAGGGCACTCCCGTTGTAATTAATTTCAAAAGTAGAAAATAATTTTAATTATTTTAATTTAAAATTATTTTAATAGTTATGATGACAACTACCGACGCGAATCATCCCGGGTACTAACCCCAGCCCTACCGGCCCGGTACATACAAACGGCTGACATGATACCCTCAACGGCCAGCATAATTGACCCGTACATCAAATACCTTAACTACACCACCGATAAGGAGTGTCCCTTCGCACCGGTAGATAACGCTAATAATACGATACCTATTAAACGCAGGTCCATAGGCTTGGCTATGACCGAGGCTATCGCTAACTTTCTAAATAAATAAGCTTGTTTATTTATTAAAATTATGCTGTTGAGCTTAAATAAAATTAAATAGATTTAAATGTAAACATTTATTTTAGATTTTATTTATTTATTCAATAGATATGTTTGAGATTACTTTTTATAACAATATTTATGTGATGTTCAAAAATGTTCTGGACAATTTACTTTATAACAGTGATATTTAAAAGTACATTTACAAAGTATTACTGTACACAGTATTTTAGTAAATGCTTTGAATATAAATAACAGTTATTATAGTTACTTAGTTTATTTAGGGCTTATTAACTATTGGCTAGTTAAATTTATGTGTAATTTTAAAACATGTTAAATACAATAAATATTTGTGTAAATATGTTTAATTTTTAATTTTTAACTAATAATCTTGGCAATCATTGTTATGTAACAAATAATATTGAAAAATAGTGCAATTTCCGTGACTGTGAATATTTAAAAATTAATATCGGATTATGGATACCCTGGACAATAAACATTATATTGAATTTGTAAAAATTATTATACAGTATATTATCAGGTTGATGTTGTCGTAAACGAGTCGCTTGTAAACTATAAAACCATAAATAAATTTATTATCACAATGACCCTGATAATAATAAATATAGCATACTCGATTTGTAAAAGTGGGTCCACCCGTAATTGAGGTACGTACATTGTTACGAATAGCGTCAAAAATTCCGATCTATTATGTAGGTGATAAAACAAAATATTAAAGTTTTTGTAATATTTAAGTCACCTATGTACATTATTGCGTTTGGCCTCCATTTGAGATTTGAGCAAAAATTCCATTAGCGCCACAATCATTGCTAATATTAAGCCCCCGATTAATATATAAAAGCATCCGGCTACATTGTCCAGTGTTAACTCGCTTTGGTTTGCATCCTATCAATAGAAATGGATAATAATTTTCTACAACTTTAACCTTGTCACAATTACCTTTTTCTCTTTAATCTTGCACTCGCTCCTATCGAACCACCATTTATTTTCCAGCTTGGTCAGGTCACCATTTTCTTTCAGGAATAACACGGCTAAGTTTAGTGAATCTCTATAAATTACATAAGTTGTTAAAATTAATTATCATGTATTATTATAAAATATGTTTAAATTATTATAAATTAATTTCTATAATTACCTAATGGATGAGCCTAAAGGTGTGGCCACACCGTAACCTTTAGCGTCTGTAACAAAATATATCATGATTATTTTTTCATAAATTATTTAAAAACTGTAATTAATAAATTTAATAATTTGTAATTTATAGATAATATAGTTAAAATTTGTAAAATTAGTTCATAAGTGATAATAGTTATAATATACATTATTAAAATGTATTTAATAGATTATTTAGTTATTTTGAATAAATATTTATTTTTTAAATATTACTTTTAAGAATTTATTTAATTGAATTTATTTTTGAACTTTTAACAATTCCATAACATATTAAAACTTACCAAGATTGCGACCCACCTTCATTGTATCACATGGTAGTCTATAGAAAATGAATGTTCAAAATGTACAATATGGGTAAAATAAATAACCAATCTAATTTAAAACTTACCTTTCATTAACATAGTCATTTTGTGTGCTCTCAATGAGAAAAGCATACTTTCCCTTTGACTCCCTGACCCTTCGTATGCCCTCCTTATAAGTGTCAACAAAAACATTTTGCTTGGAGTGCATGAATTCCCACATCCGCTGGTGAACCGCTATTTTAGACCTCTGCGAGTATACGACGGGTATTTAGGGTAAGCATAGAAAGTAATGCAAAATGAATGCAATGTTGGAAATACCCTAAAGAAGTCCATAGACGACGAGTGCTTAAGTACACCGTATTCTACTTCAGTCTGTTTGGCTAAATCGTCGGCCGAATTGATCGGGGTCACCATGCGCTCCACCTATGGGTTTATATACATAGGTCATATAGCAAAATATATACTGAGTATGATATAGAATTTATTACTAAATTTATATAGATTATTTCATTTTGAAAGTTAATTTTTATTAAAATCTGTAAGGAACTGTAACTATAATGTGTGTCTAATATATAACACGGTAAATTAATCTGATAAATTATATGTTTGGCAAATATTCTTATATGTTTAATATAAATTAAATTTTGATTTTTCTAATTTATAAGCATGTACTAGTTTTAATTATTGACATTTACATAATGTACATATAGATAACGGTTATATAATGAAATTTATTTGATTTATTTAAAATATTTTAAGTCATACCGTCAAAAAAGCCGCTAAATTAGCTGTGTATGAGGAT